CTTTATTTTTATTTTACTTTTATTTTGCTTTCATTATATTTTGTTTGGGACTTATGTTTAGTTAAGACGAAGGTTTCCTCACCATTCACCTTAGTAACTTAAAAATAGAAGAAAAACCAACTCACTGACGAAAGAAAAGCGCCGTAGAAAAACTTGCGCTTCCCAAGCGGAAAAAAGTAAGTCCGCACCGAGAAAAAGGGGGGAAGACCCCACAACCCAGTTAGGAATCGCTAAACCTTAAAAGAATAAAGCATCCCGATAATTGTTAAAAAGAATAATGTAAAAGGTTAGCGAAGTATTGTCGGAAAATAATCTGCCAGATAAACAAGAAAAATTTAATGTTACAGATAAGTATGTAAATGAGGAGAGTGAGCTCATTCAGAATTGTGACGTCACCTCACACTATAAAGCCTCTAACTCAAGTGAAAATGAACGAGGTGAATTCCTGATAGCAACGAGCTTTGGTGAGCTCCGTAGCAGTGAACGAGAGAGGTGTCCGATAGGATTTTGAAGTTATTCGATTTATGGATTGACGATTATAGAAAGTCTTGAGAGTTTGAGGAAATAGGTTCCTAGTATATTGAGGTGACGATTAGGATCTTTAATTTATAAGAATTATTGTTTATAAGTTAATTCTTTGATTTTGTCGAATTCCAAAGGGGAATAGAATTAAGTTAGAAATAGATTGATTTGAGTTTGTCGGATTGATTCTTGTTGAATTTCATTGAATAAATTATTGTTTGAATTTTATTAAATACTGTATATAGTTTATTACTAGAAGTTTAATTAAATATTTGATTTTGTTATTGACAAACTTTGTCATTATTTAATTCGGTGCACGCTTAAAGTCCAGGCCTGGCACACTAACGCGAATCCGCGTAAAGTATCTGTTAGGGAACGGCTATTTCCGGCACACAGTAGTGTCGATAATCGTTGGAAAGTCGGAAAAATAATATAGTACTTTACAACCTGTTCAGTATGAATCCAACAGAATGGCTTGGATGACTAGTGACCCATTTCAGAAATGGCTTGTACAGGGTTCCTACTCAAATTTTTGTTTTGAATTCCCTGACTTTCCCTGATTTTCCCTGACCAACTTTGTCCAAATTCCCTTACCCTCACATTTCTTACGGTGTGGAATATTGACATAATAAAAAAGTATTTTACTTACTGTGAACATTAAGTACATCTATCCCTCTTTTTGTACAGTTGATATGTTTCAAAGACTGCCACATTAAAAAAATACAGTACATCATATTTTTTTAATGTACTGTAATGGTTAACATTACAAAAGAGTTTTATCTCTCTTGTAATGTTGACCATTACAAAAAATATAAAATTTACAAAAAATTTACAAAAGAGGCTTCTCTTTTGTAAATTCTTCCCTTTGATCCTCGGAATTTTAAGAATGCAGCCTTTCAATCACAAATAAAGTGGGCCTATACCCACTGTACGCATATGTTTGACACACATAGAGAATTAAATTACATACGTACAATAGCTGTACAACAGGAATATTGTATAAGTGAAATTAATGCACTTATTGCTAAATTTTGTAATCAAACAAATAAGCAACCTACAACTAAGAACCAAGGACGAAGAGCAGTTCTCAACTATATACCTTTCCTGCAATCGATGATTAAAAAATTATCTCACAAGAATAATTTAAGAATTATTTATCATCACAATCCTACGATCTATAGAATTCTATGAAATGATAAGAAGATAGGAAACCGTAACAATAGTGCAGGAGTGTATTCTATTCCTTTAAGTGACCACCGTTTTAATTCAGATCTCGTTTATGTTGGTGCCACTATGAGACTTTTAAAACAGAGGCTTAAAGAGCAAAAGTATTCCATTACTAAACACTTGGACAGTACCGTCCTTGCAGCCTTCGCTAAACATCAAGATATTAATTTATGTACATTGGAACAAAGCATCCATAATTAAGACTGCCACCAACAAACAAGTACTTAAACATATTGAAAAACTTGAAATTTACAAGGCCCATATTGACAAAGGATGCCTCAACCATGGAGATGGAGAAAGTCTATCCTTCGCATGGAAATCTTTTTACCACGACGATTATTTTTCTTAATATTTTATTGTAATTTAATTTTGTTTTTACGTTTTATTTTATTTTTATTTTGTTGTAATTAATTTCAAATTTTTAAATCGTTGTATTGCTTGCATTCTATTTTACGTTTGTTTTTGTTTTAAAGTGGCTTAACTGAAGAAGACTCGAAAACGTTGTTATATTTTTTATTAAATACTTCGTTGCTGAAAATACTAAGGTGTTTGATTATTTTAAGACATTTATATTCCAGTAAGTTATTTTATTTGCTATACTGTACTTTTAGACCAACTGATAAAATGTTCAAATTGATGTGCAAAGAAAATTTGTACAAATAAAAGTTCTGTTGAAATGCCATTATGCTTCTACTTGTATAAACTATAGGTACTACATTAGTTAATGCATTTTATTAAAGAGTAGTTCCCAGCTAGTGAGCTGTCAAAACCTGTCAAAAACTTTTTTGACATAGGATAGTATTTCTTAAACTGCGACCATTTGAGGGATGGACTAAAAATTCTAGGTGGTCACAAAAATTTGAAAAAACTAAGGTTTATGCATATGAAATAAGCACAGTTTATAAGAACGTGCTACATATTTGTCAATATTTGCTTTGTAGAAATTGTATGAATAAATGTAGAATTTAGATTATGTCCATACAGAGGTTTGTTTTGCACCATATATTATAAGGAGGAGTCATAAAAAGTTCATTATAAATGGAGTCTAAAAGTTTTTGTTGTAAGAAATGGTTGCAGATAAAAAGTTTAAGAGATTCTAACATAAGGGAAACCTAGTTAATTTTTCTATAGATACAGGGTTTAAAAGTAACAAATCGAGATGGATGTATGATAACTTTAAGTGTAAAATAATAATTTCAAGAATCAGATAAGATACTTTTATCCCATAAGGTCGGCAACCTGTGCATAAGAGCTAGATAGTCTGCTGTTTTTCCAGAAGTCTGCTTTGTGATTCAATTTCACACTGAATGTCAAAATAAGTAAACTAAGAATTTATTGCCACTTGTTATTGCCAGTATTACATTTTTATCATCATTTAATAAAAATATCCCAAGTGGCAATTTTGGCACTGTGTAGTGTGACCCCTGTATTAGCTATCAATATCATTCTCTTTATTTAAAAATTTTTATTAATAAAACATCAACAGCACACCGCGATATATAACAACTAACCTCCGAAAAACCAATAACGGTGCATTTTTTGAGAAAACACACCGTTATTGGTTTTTTGGAGGTTAGTTGTAATTTTTATTAATACCTAATGAAAAGCATTATTAAATTATTTTTAAAAATACCTAAAGACTCTTGATCTTGAGAAAGTGAAAATCTTGTTTTCTTTTCAACGATTTCGGTAGTACTGACATTATCACCCACAAGACTGTCGAGATTCATTCGAACTTTACTGTGTTTTTTTTGTTGTTCTAAGCTTATCACCTAAAGTTCATTCTAATATTAAAAAATTATTTGCAATTTTATATTTAAACAATTTCAAAAATAAATACTTTTTCTTCACTTAACATTCCTGGACATTCAAAATCTTGATTTGCTAAAGGAATAACCAAAACTTCTTCAACTTGAGTGGTAATGTTTACTGGAGAGTCAGTAGTTTCATTTAGGTTGCAGTCATCATGATGACTTTCGGTAAACAATGGCAATGATGTTTTTGAAGTTATTCGTCCTACTAATATATAAAAGATAGTAATTAC